GGCTCAGGCAGGGGGTGCGCCTGCCGCTGTGGAGATGGGGATGGAGACAGCGGTCTGGAGAGATTCGGGAGATTTTTTAAAAAGTGGATTCTGAGAAGGGAATCCGCAGGCCCGGAGAAGCGAGAGTAAAATGTGTGTGCATCGGAGTAAGTGGGTGTGCATTAGGTTAAAGGGATGTGTGTTCGGATAAGATGCATGTGTAGAGATCGGGGAGACCGTGATACAAAGTTGCCTCTGAAACCAGGACAGAATAAGCCGTATTTCCAGGCCTCGGAGAACAGACCACCGGGAAGGGAAGGCGTCCCTTGTCCCTACTCCTGATTTTTTTTAAAACAAAGTGCATGTGTTACCTATGCAAAAATTGGGTCCTTTTAAGTTTAAAAATTAAAAGGATTGGCGTTCCGCCAGTGCTGCCATCCGTTCTATTAAAATTGGGAGCGCTGGAACGCGCTCCATAGCCTTTCCCATCCGTCACTCCTCAGTTACCTGGCCGTAGCTTGGAAAGGAAGATTTTGTTTTGCTCTTTCCAAAATACAACGTGCAGAAGGCGAGGAAGTATCTTGGCAGCCTCCTGCGAGGGGATGGCTTCAGCGGCAGAGGTGCTAACGGGAAATAGTTAGTGGACGTTTGCATAATTATAGGCATCACCTACCCAGAGCCTCGCTGGGAACGTTGTGGTCAGTTTCTGCCGCAACCAATCCGCCCTTCTGAGTGGGCTTCTGGGTGGAAGGTCGTTTCTTCAAGAGGCCATGGCTTCTTTCTGTTCCGCTTTCAGCAGCGAGAACAAAAAGAACGGCTCTGGGCTGTTTCACCCTTCGCCCGATTGTTACAACTCAGCGGTTCGCTTTGAGTTGTCTGAGGTCACTCCAGGCTTATAGCGTTGGACCGTTGGTCAGAGCGAAGCATCGTAGTCGCGTGAGCTATTATATCAGGGTCGTAACTCACCGTTTCACAGTCCTTATTCATTTTGCACGCGGCCGCAGAATTCCATCACCTTCGTTACGGTGAAGTCTGTAAGCTGTGGCTAGATTTGCGATGCGATGAAACGTAAATATCCCTTGGCACTATGTCGGGAAAAGTCTTATGTGAGACTGTGACAAATACCAGCTCCTGTCCTTTAGTCTTCAGCCTCATATCTAAGAAAGCAAACAAGGCAGAAATAAGTTCAGTACTGAAAAGCTGTCTTTCTCTTTAATTTATTGGGGTGACACTGTTTAACACAATTATATCGGTTTCAGATGTACAGTCTGTAATAACGTCATCTGTGTATTGTGTTGTATGTTTCCCTGTCTGTCTGTGAGTTTGTTTGTTTGGGGGGGGGTTCTTGCTTTGCTTAATCCCTTCACCGTTTTCACCCAGCCCCACATCCTACGCTGCTCTGACAGCTGCCAGTCTGTTCTCTGTCCCCATGAGTCTGTTTCTATTTTGTTTGTTAACTCATTTTGTTCGTTAGATTTCACACGAGTGAGATCATATGGTGCTGGTCTTTCTCTGGCTGGCTTATTTCACTCAGCATAAGGCCCTCCAGGTCCCTCCACGCTGTCGCAAAGGGGAGTAAGATTTCCTTCTTCTTTATGGCCGAGTAGTATTCCTCCTGTAACCGTACCACAGCTATTTTATCCACTCACCTACGGATGGGCACTTGGGCTGCCTCCAAATCTTGGCTGTTGTAAATAACGCTGCAGTGAACATAGGGGGGCACATATTCTTTCACATCAGTGTCTCGGTATCTTCGGACATATTCCCAGCAGTGGGATCGCTGGGTCATGAGGCAGCTCCATTTTTAATTTGCTGAGGAAGCTCCGTGCTGCTTTCCACCATGGCTGCACCAGTCTGCGTCCCGCCAGCAGGGCACGGGGGCTCCCTCTTCCCCACATCCTCGCCAGCACTGGTCGTTTGTTCATTTACTGATGGTCGCCCCTCCGACGGGAGAGGTGGTACCTCATCGTGGTTTTAATTTTCATCTCTCTGATGATTCGTGGCGTTGAGTGTCTTTTCATGTCCCTTGGCCACCTGTAGGTCCTCTTTGGAGAACTGTCTATTCAGGCCCTTTGCCCGTCTGTAATTGGGTTGTTTGGTTTTGTGGGGTTTGGTGTTGAGTTGTGTAAGTTCTGTATACATTTTGGATATTAAACCTTTATCAGATGTGTCATTGGCGAATATGTTCTCCCATCAGGGGCTTGTCTTTTCATTGTGTTGATGGTTTCCTTTGCTGGGCAAAAGCTTTTTAGTTTGATGTAGTCCCGTGTGTTTATTCTTCCTTTTGTTTCCCTGGCCTGAGGAGATGTATCAGAAAAAAATATATATATATTGCTACGAGAAATTTTACTGCCTACATTTTCTTCTAGGATTTTTCTGGTTTCAAGTCTCATACTGAAGTCTAATCTATTTTGAGTTTATTTTCGTGTCCAGTTATCACAACAGCATCGATTGAATAGACCATCGTTACCCCATTGTGTGTTCTTGCCGCCTTTGTCGAATATTAATTCGAGCATGAAGGCATGGCTTTATTTCTGGGCCCTCTATTCTGTCCCCTTGATCTACTGATTTTATGCCAGTGCCGGACTGTTTGATACCAGGTAGTGTGATGCCTCCAACTGCGTTCTTTTATCTCAGGATTGCTGTGGCTGCCCGGGGTCTCCTGTGGCTCCATGCGCGCTTCTGGGATATTTGTTCTAGTTCTGTGAAATGCGCCGTTGGGGTCTTGATAGGAATTGCGGTGGATCTATAGGTCGCTGTGGGCCGTATGGACATTGAACGATGTCGAGTCTTCCTACCCGTGAACACAGTACATGCTTCCACTCAGTTGTATCTTCTTCAGTTTCTTTTTGTTTTCTTTTTTTTAAAATATATTTTATTGATTTTTCACAGAGAGGAAGGGAGAGGGATAGAGAGTTAGAAACATCAATGAGAGAGAAGCATCGATCAGCTGCCTCCTGCACACCCCCTACTGGGGATGTGCCCGCAACCAAGGTACACGCCCTTGACCGGAATCGAACCCGGGACTCTTCAGTCCCCAGGCCGACGCTCTGTCCACTGAGCCAAACCAGCTAGGGCTTCCGTTTCTTTTTGTTTTTGTTCGGTTGGTTGGTTTGGCGTGTTTGTGCGCGCGTGTGTGTGTGTGTGTGTGTGTTGTTGTTGTTGTTGTTTGTGCTTTTTATGCACCTGTAAATGGTATTGTTTTCTTAGTCTCCCTTTCTAATAGTTCCGTTTTGATCTATGAAAACGCAGCTGAGCCGGCCGGCGTGGCTCAGTGGCTGAGTGTCGACCTGGTCAGGGCATATGCCCCAGTTACAGTTCCATCCCAATAGGGGGCGTGCAGGAGGCAGCGATCAGTGATTCTCCTCATTGATGTTTCTCTCCCTCTCCCTCCCTCCCTCTGAAAATCAATTAAAACATGTTTTTTAAAAGTTAATCAATAAAAGTCTCTCAAACATAAAGTAACTCATTGTTGTTGATTGAGCCTCAGAAACGTTCAACACGGGGAGAAAGGAAGAGCTTTATTTTCTCCTACGCGAGCCTTTGTCGGCTTCATGTGACAGCCGTAAGGCGCCTGGCACTGATTTCTGGGAGACTGCTGCCCCCTTCCTTCCGTCTTTGTTAGGAATGTTCCCTCACGCCCGATCATCTCGTTGAATTTTTGCTGGCGTGCTTCGTTGCACAGCTAGCCATAAAGCCTGGGAGCTCCTGGAGGTGGACTACAGTGCCTACGGGAATAATTAGGGTCAGCAAAACTTGTTGTAAAAAGAAAAAACAAGTATGTGATCTTTGAACGCATCATAAATTAGAACACGCTTTCCATGCCGTGTAATCTCAGGGCTCAGATACCCGAGCACATGGCCAGTTATCTTGTGCTTGGGTTGTCTTCAGTGTCGAGTAGTTTATCGGAACATAACATCTCACCCTTAAAAGCCCTGAGCCCAGCCAAGCACAGCTCCGGGTCCTCACTGACACTCCCACAGTAACTCCCGCGTTTGCACAAAGTCCTGGGCCGATGCCCACGTCGAAATATGTGCGGTGCTTTCACCACATGTATTTATGCAAGAAAATCATACGGTAAAAATGACTGGCTACGCAACAAATTGAAAGAAAAAAATGAAAAGGAATGTGAAGAGAGAACTTATCTTTAAACTTCTTGTGGGATCGAGATATTGACAGCTGTGTCCATCAGCAGCAGATTCCCGCTGGCCACTGTGGCTCAGTGGTTGGACGTAGACACATGATGAACCAGGAGGTGGCGGTTCGATTCCTGGTCAGGACACATGCCCCGGTTGTGGGCTTTATCCTCAGTGTGGGGCGTGCAGGAGGTAGCTGATCAAAGATTCTCTCTCACCGTTGATGTTTCTCTCTCTCTCCCTCTCCCTTCCTCTCTGAAATCAATAAAAATATATTGAAGAGAATATTTTTATTTAAAAAAAAGAAATTTTTATTGGTTTCAGAGAGGAAGGGAGAGGGAGAGAGATAAAAACATCCATGATGAGAGAGAATCATGGATCGACTGCCTCCTGCAGGCCCCACGCTGGGGATCGAGCCCACAACCCAGGCCTGTGCCCTGACCGGGAATCAAACCGCCACCTCCTGGTTCATAAGTCGACGCCCAAGCACAGAGCCATGCCAGCTGGGCTTAATAAAAAAAAAATTTTTAATTTTTAAATCTTGAGAGCAAATGTAAGAAACGGTGGTTTTCGTTCCTCTTTCATCGTCTGATCTTCCTCATAAACTGAGCAAAACGTGACATAGGTGCGATGTTTTAACGCGTCTCCTCTGTCCTCCCTCCAGTGCTGCTGATCACGGTGCTGGTGGTGGAGGGGATCGCCGTGGCCCAGAAGCCCCCAGGTAAGGTGCTCAGGGGACCGCTCCCCCGTGCGGATGGTGGGGGCTCACCTGGAAGGACCGCAGCCCGTGGGGACCCCTTCCGTCCTCCCTCCGGGGGGTGCCCGTGACCTCGGGCTTCCTGTCTAGCCCTCAGCCTGGGTTTCACTGTCTGAGCCGCAGGCAGCCAGAGTCCATTGTCAGCGGCAAGCGTTGCCCTGAGACACCGGACGCACGGGCGTCCCCAGCGGCCTGGCTCGCTCCGCATCCGCCCGACAGTTACATGGGGCTCGCGCTTTATCGCCAAGCGGAAGTCAGCATCCATTTCCCCCGTTAGACTCATTTCCGGCGTGTCTCCCTCGGAGCCCCCGGGGGGGCTGGTGGGCCGTGCTGCCTGGAAGGTCAGGGTGTGGGTGCCGGTGGGCAGTGGGGAGGGAGGGGAGGCGCCCTCATGCTGTGACGGCTGCTCTGACCTCTGTTCCCGCCAGATGGACAGAACGTCGGGGTCAGGCACGTGGCTGGCACCCAGTGCGGCATCTGGGTTCGAACCAGCAATGGAGGCCACTTCGCTTCACCGAGTTACCCAGACCCGTACCCGCCCAACAAGGAGTGCATCTACGTTTTGGAAGGTATTTGCCCGATTTCTATCTTTTTATTCAGGGCCTTTTTACTTTTCTTCTTCTTCTTTTTTTTTTAATCCTCACCCGAGGATATTTTTTCATTGATTTTTTTAGGGAGAGTGGATGAAAGAGGGAGAGACAGAGAGAAATATTGATGTGAGAGAGACACGTCGATTGGTTGCCTCCTGCACACACCCTGACCAGGGCCCGGGCCGGTGAGGAGCCTGCAACCGAGGTACATGCCCTTAACCAGAATCAAACCCAGGACCCTTCAGTCCACAGGCCGACGCTCTATCCACTGAGAAACACCATCCAGAGCCCTTTTACTTTTCTGGTATAACTAAATCCATCGGCTAAAATGCCCTGTTTTTAAAAAAATTGAGCCCTAACCAGTTTGGCTCAGTGGATAGAGCGTCAGCCTGTAGACTGAAGGGTCCCAGGTTCGATTCCGGGCAAGGGCATGTACCTAGGTTGCGGGCACATCCCCAGTAGGAGTGTGCAGGAGGCAGCTGATCAATGTTTCTAAATCTCTATCCCTCTCCCTTCCTCTCTGTAAAAAAATCAATAAAATATATTTTTTAAATTTTTTGAACAAAATTCAACGCGTATCTGAACTGAACTCTAGTAATGCATACATATTCCTGAACGCGGAACACATTACCAAGGCAACAGTTGCAATGACAGGAAGTTGGAATCTCTGAGACAGCACCGTGCAGCCAGCTGCCCCGTGTGGCTGAGAAATGCCTCCTTATGAGGCTTCATGCCCGTTCATGTCCTCGGATCCACTGGCCGTTCATCGCCTGGGTTTCTGTTCATGGTGCATTGTAGTCATGAACCAAACGTTAGCTTCTCGACTCTCCCTTTACTTCGACTCTGGTTGTAGTCAGCTGCCCACCTCTCACTCATGTCCTCGGCAGCGGAGGCCCGAGGGGAGGGTCCTGCAGCCCCCGAGCAGCATCGCTATCGGGTGAAATGAACACTGTGAATTTTATGTTAACGTTCCCCTTACGCCCCTCGGCGGGAGGGGTGTGCGGCCGCGGCGGCCTGTCCCACTGGAGCAGTGATGGCGAACCTCTTGAGCTCGGCGTGTCAGCATTTTGAAAAACCCTAACTTAACTCTGGTGCCGTGTCACATATAGAAATTTTTTGATGTTTGCAACCATAGTAAAACAAAGACTTATATTTTTGATATTTATTTTATATATTTAAATGCCATTTATTAACAAAGAAAAATCAACCCAAAAAATGAGTTCGCGTGTCACCTCTGACACGCGTGTCATAGGTCCGCCATCACTGCACTAGAGCGACAGTCCTGCTCTGGCTCGCGCGTGGCCCTGACTGGCTCGCTCTCCCCTCCCAGCGGCGCCCCGGCAAAGAATCGAGCTGACCTTCGACGAGCACTTCTACATCGAGCCCTCGTTCGAATGTCGCTTTGACCACCTGGAGGTTCGCGACGGGCCCTTCGGCTTCTCTCCGCTCATCGAGCGGTTCTGCGGCGTGAAGAGCCCTCCGCTGATCAGATCCACAGGGCGCTTCATGTGGGTCAAGTTCAGTTCCGACGAAGAACTGGAAGGAATGGGATTCCGAGCAAAGTACTCGTTTATTCCAGGTAACGAGCCGGTCTTCCTCCCGGAGGCCTGCCCGCCGTGGGCCTCCGTCGGCCAGAACTGTGCTCACTCAGTCGGGTTAACACTTGGACCGCAGAGCCCTGTCCGCTGCGAACGTGCCCCAGTCCCCAGTGGGGACACGGGGATACGGGTCATCCGCCGTCTGCCAGGAGCCACGAACTGACGCGGTGACCGGGCAACGCGGTGCCGCAAGTGTGCCGTCTCTTGTTCCATTTAGGTTTCGTGTCAGAAATTTGTTACTTGAAAAAAATGAAGCCCGACCTGTGTGGCTCAGTGATTGAGTGTCACAAAGTCGCAGTTTGATTCCGGTCGGGGCACAGGCCTGGGTTGCGGGCTCCATCCCCAGTGGGGGGCGTGCAGGAGGCAGCGATCAGTGATTCTCTGTCATCATGGATGTCTCTCTCTCCCTCTCCCTTCCTCTCTGACATCAATACAAATATATATGTTTTTTAAGTCTATGCATTATCACTTAAAAACATTGATGCTCTCAGTGAACATGCGCATAAGTAACTGTGGTCTCTAGTCAAACCAGGAAGCTTTCTCTCAAACTGTTACTAAATGTAGCAGCTGGTACTAAATGTAGCATCTGTTACTGTAGCATCTGTTACTGTAGCATCTGTTACTAAATATAGCGTCTGTTACTACACGTAGCATCTGTTACTGTAGCATCTGTTACTAAATATAGCGTCTGTTACTACACGTAGCATCTGTTACTGTAGCATCTGTTACTAAATATAGCGTCTGTTACTACACGTAGCATCTGTTACTGTAGCATCTGTTACTAAATATAGCGTCTGTTACTACACGTAGCATCTGTTACTGTAGCATCTGTTACTAAATATAGCAGCTGTTACTAAATGTAGCATCTGTTATTAAATGTAGCAGCTGTAACTAAATGTAGCATCTGTTTCTAAATGGTGCATCTGTTACTAAGTGTAGCAGCTGTTACTAAATGGAGCATCTATTACTGTAGCGTCTGTTACTAAATGTAGCAGCTGTTACTAAATGGAGCATCTATTACTGTAGCGTCTGTTACTAAATGTAGCAGCTGTTACTAAATGGAGCATCTATTACTGTAGCGTCTGTTACTAAATGTAGCAGCTGTTACTAAATGGAGCATCTATTACTGTAGCGTCTGTTACTAAATGTAGCAGCTGTTACTAAATGGAGCATCTATTACTGTAGCGTCTGTTACTAAATGTAGCAGCTGTTACTAAATGGAGCATCTATTACTGTAGCGTCTGTTACTAAATGTAGCAGCTGTTACTAAATGGAGCATCTATTACTGTAGCGTCTGTTACTAAATGTAGCAGCTGTTACTAAATGGAGCATCTATTACTGTAGCGTCTGTTACTAAATGTAGCAGCTGTTACTAAATGGAGCATCTATTACTGTAGCGTCTGTTACTAAATGTAGCAGCTGTTACTAAATGGAGCATCTATTACTGTAGCGTCTGTTACTAAATGTAGCAGCTGTTACTAAATGGAGCATCTATTACTGTAGCGTCTGTTACTAAATGTAGCAGCTGTTACTAAATGGAGCATCTATTACTGTAGCGTCTGTTACTAAATGGAGCATCTGTTACTAAATGTAGCAGCTGTTACTAAATGTAGCGTCCGCCATAGTAAGTGACTCCACGCTGTCTCAAAATGCCAATGACGTTCTCCTCTTTTCTGTTGCAGATCCAGACTTTACTTACCTCGGAGGTATTTTAAGCCCCATCCCAGGTTTAGTATCTGCCTCTTTTTCCTCCTGGCGCCTCTGATCCGCCGGCGTTCCCGTTGAACGTGCTCCTCTCTCCCTTCCAGACTGCCAGTTCGAGCTCTCGGGGGCCGACGGCGTCGTGCGGTCCAGCCAGGTGGAGCAGGAGGAGAAGACGAAGCCCGGCCAGGCGGTGGACTGCATCTGGACCATCAGGGCCACCCCGAGGGCCAAGGTACGGCTGCGTGCGAGGCACGCGGGGAGGCCGTAAGGGCGACTCCTGTGAGGCGCAGTTTGGGTTTGTGCAAGTACTTACTGATTATATAAACCAATTACAACTTTATTTTGGTTCCCTTATGACAGTGGTTCTCAACCTTCTGGCCCTTTAAATACAGTTCCTCATGTTGTGACCCAACCATAAAATTATTTTCGTTGCTACTTCATAACTGTCATGTTGCTACTGTTATGAATCGTCATGTAAATATCTGATGTGCAGGATGGCCTTAGGCGACCCCTGTGAAAGGGTCGTTCGACCGCCAGAGGGGTCGGGACCCACAGGTTGAGAACCTCTGCTTTATGAGGTACCAGCTAAGACCTCAGCATTGCTGACGTTAGATAAGCGACAGTGTCAGTTTCAGGAGTAGCACGCATATGCAGTAAGGCTCTTATTTTACGATTCTTAAAGTCTGTGGATTCCTAATTCCAGAGTGCGCGCATTGATCAGGATGATCACAGATTCATTTAAAAAGTTTGATGACCGTGGCGGGGGGGCTCAGGTGGTTGGAGCGTCACCCCGTACACCAAAAGGTTGGGGGATCGATTCTCAGTCAGGGCACACACCGAAGTTGCTAGTTTGATCCCCAGTTGGGGCACGTATGGGAGGCAACCGATCGATGTTTCTCTCTCACATCGATGTGTGTTCTTCTCTCTCCCCCTCCCTTCCTCTCTCTCTCTAAAATCAATTAAAACAGCCCCAGGTGAGGATTTAAAAAAAAAAAAACATGTTAAATTTTGTGAGGAAAAATGGATCACAAGGCCCTAACCGGTTTGGCTCAGTGGATAGAGCGTCGGCCTGCGGACTGAAGGGTCCCAGGTTCGATCCCGGTCAAGGGCATGTACCTTGGTTGTGGACACATCCCCAGTAGGTGTGCAGGAGGCAGCTGATCGATGTTTCTCTCTCATCGATGTTTTTAACTCTCTATCCCTCTCC